TTTTCGTGCTGCAGCTCATATTTAGCACGCTAAGAAAAATCAAATGACATGGATTACAAGTATGGGCAGAAATTAATAAAAATTACTGCATTAAAGCAGATTATGATGACAGTTCTTGACACTCAGCCTTAACTACAGTGTTCCAGATTGTTTATGATTATAAAATATATTATATTAGTATAGATGCTGTTCAAGCATAAATGATTAATGATTGTAAAATTAATCATTGTAATTTAAGTATAGCTATAAGCGCGTACTTGCACTGTATAAGAATTCATATCTGACAGGAAAAAAATGTTAATTCATAGAATGTAGAATTTAATTTTGATACATTAAAATAGTCTATATCTTACGATAGTATTTCTAGATACTCTCCATAAACGTAATGTAATCGTGGATTTGAAATAAGACTTTAATAAAATCTCTTGCTAGGAATAAGTAAAGCTGCTCTACTTTTGTACACTTCAAATGAAAACGATTAAAGTGTATCGATTACTAAACCGTAAACGTAGTATTATCCTTAAATAGATTATCAAGAAATAAAACCAGTTTTTATGCTATAATAATAATATCAATAGTCATAATAATAGAGATTATTGATCATTAGGAGGAACCGCCTCGAGATAGTTGTATTATATTAATGCTATTGATGTTGTAAACATTAATCAAATATCGTATACTGAATAGTAATCCCGATAGATGAGAATGACAGCGTCTTTGCAAATGAATTCGAGGCTATCGTTTGCAATAGTTCATTTAGCGTTCCTAGAGTAACTGAGTAAACTAAGCTAGGTAAATACCATTGCCTTAACTACCAATTAACAGTGATTATATATATGAAGAGTTAATAAAACGTATGCTCATATTCTTGTGTATGAGTATGAGTACTGTAGTATAATAAAGCTATAAATAATGATTTGAATTTATTTCGGAAATGCCCCTACGTGGATTTACATTAAGTCATGATGTTTCGTTATAATAAACCCTATAAAATAAAACATATTCAATAGAAGGTATGTTAGAGTGCTGATATAGACTAGAATGACAATGCCATTGCAGTCGGAAGGCGACAACGATGACGATGTTGTGATTTAATTAGAGATGGTTTTCATAAAGTAGACATGAATGCGTGCTTGTATTATGCGAAATGTTCTCGTAGAAATTAGTTACATAGCGTGATTCTTTAGGGCTATTATTACTTCAGGTCATTATTTACTTTATCGATTATTGCAATTATTTGTATCGTTTATATTTATTTTGGAATGTTACTACTATAATTGATCGCGACAGACCATCGCGAAAGGTCTAAATATGTAGCGAAAAGCATGCATTGAGAGAAATTAATTATACATGTTTTCGTAATACTGTAATGTATGAAACAATACTATTAATAGGAAAATCATCAAAGTTGATTTTTTTACCCCAATGTATCGATGCACCAAATTGCCAGAAACGATATTGAAATGGTATTTAAATCTAGCAATAAAATATTTATCAAGTCCTATAATAACTTAGCTAGCGGATGATATTGATTTCTACAAATGTTAATAGTACATGGAATAAATTCACTTTATTATTGGCTAAGATTGAAAGTATATGAAATATGGCATAGCAAAAGACCATCTTGCTATAACTAAAGTATGATTCAATTAAGCATGCAGAAAATAAATTGTATCTTCTCATATCTGCATGATATGAAATTTCTCTAAAGACATTATTACAACACAATGATTCTTTGTAACGGTTACAATTCGAAATACATACGCTATAGCTGTGTCCAGAAAGTGATATTCAACTCATGTATCT